CCAGGTGTTTTTTTTGTGAAGTACGGTACTTAATAAATCCGAATATAATAAAATTCGTGGTAGATCTCCATCTTTAACTACCTTAGTAAAAGACACAATATCAGATTGATGGTAAACCAAACAATAAAGGTCCTTAGAGAACGTTGTCGGCTAATTGATTTCTTAAACCATTAAACTATTGTGCAATCGTAAACGATCAAAGTACTAAAGTATCGGCATCTATACCGATAACGGGACTCCGCAAGAATTGGGTCCGTGGTACACGTGCTCTGTCTTTTGTGACTGATGCCGGAGTGAAAAAATCATTGTGTCTTTGTATGCAGACAATTGATTTGAAGCGAACTCTGTGCAAAATGCAGAAAAAACCCATTGCACTTGGTAGCACTAGTAGTCGATCCCACAACTAAGTCAGGAAAGGACTGTATCCTCTGCGACATGGAATAAGTGATATCGAAGAATCTGTCCCCGGCTTACCAGACCAGCTTGATAGGCTTATGTAACTTCTCGGTCCCAATGGTACCAGAAAACTGGCCGTAATAAGGGCAGGCGTAGTGACTTCTTACCTAAAGGCGTTTCCCAAGTATAAAAACACTGTAGAGGATCTCGCCGGGCGCTGGTGAGTGAAAAGTTAGCACCACCATGAGGTCGCTGAAGTTAAGAGGATTGAAGGCCTGGACGAAGAAAATCCCTTACGTAACTTGAAGCGGCCATGGTTCAGCCCTTACCCATATATAGTAAAACCTAATTAAATGTATAACTACTGGATGACCCAGCCACGTGCTGACTTGTTGTTTAGAAGCAGTCACACCATTGTGCGATCCCACCATCTTGTGTGACCTCGCATTCAGACCAAAGTACGCAAAACCCCGTTACACTCCCCCACATCAAGATTGCGATGACCTTAAATTTACATTTAAGTGTCGCCTCGAACGAGGCCCACTTGTCCAAGACACCACAACATCACCAGAACCTTCTTCACAAAATCTCTGCTGGACGAGCCTTATGTCGAGGGCTCGGAAGAAACCCAACCTCACTGGTTACGAGAACGTCCGCGGACAGAGCCCTTCATTGTCTCCTGCACGCGGTGCAACTCTGGACAGTACGCACGAGGCTTTGAAAGAAGCGCAGCTTAAATTCTCGGTAACGAGTACCACACAGCGCATTGTCAGCGACAGGGTCGCACAAACAACAACACAGATGCGATGTCTACTCCCTACTGCGCACCGCGCCCGCCACAGGCAATGGATTACCTCGTCGAGGATTTGGAGGTAGTCGGAAGTCGACTAAGAGTCAGAGACTCCTTCTTGAGGATCGGAAAATGAAGAGGGTGAAGTGCCCCAGCGGCGCGGCGTGAGCCCTGCTTAAACCTAGCAGACGCCATGTCCGTTCCCCGAACTATCGACTTCCGGGGATAGATCTATCATTAACAATCACATCGACGAGGCACAGAAGAAGCAGCTGGAGGCTACCCAAAGGGCCGTTCTCATGCGCACGCATCCACGGTCGGTCCTAGACCCTCGTGCGAAGGACGCTATCACTCGATATTGGTCGTCTAAGTGGTCGGGCTTCCATCACTACTCAAGCTGAGCCTGACGAACGAAGAGCTCTCCGAGTTCGATTCTTGGTTCGTCCTGAAATTCTGATGGATACGTACCGCACCCGATTTCGTGCTCAATGAGTAGGCGCTCCTGTACCCGCGATACCGACGATCCCTGTGGTGCTCACCCTTGGCGAAACCGCTGCAGATAACGAAGAGCTCTTTGAGCGATGTTTCAGCGGCACAAGAAACATTTTCCTGCTGCACAACTTACATCTGAGCCACAGGGAGGTGGACGCGCGTGTGGAACGCCAGCTTGGTTTGAGGTTGCCGAATTCAAGGTGCGTCGTCGACTTCGTTTGGATTGTCGCCCTGCGACGTATGGGTTGATCCCTTACGCTCCTGCGAGCTCTGTGGCCTCTCACATGGGTGAGCCCGCGACCGCAACGGCCTAGGGATATAGCTTGAGCTCAGCTCATGGCCCTTCGGCTTTCCTGGCTATTGCCGAGAAGCGCGGAGCGTACGACGCGGAGCGTCATCATTCCTCTGATCATAGGAGGCCGCGACGTCTGGGTGGTCTAGTCGAAGTAGCATTTCAAACTCCCAAAAGTTTTTGTAGTCGTGGAACCCCCTCCACCTCACAAGATGCTGAATTTGACCCTAGCGACGAAGTCGCCACACAAACATTTCCTTTTGATAATGGACACCACTAAATCATAGAGAAGTGGTGGCGGCGGATGGCGATGATTCGGTCAATATTTTTCCGGTGACTCGCGATGCTCTTCAAGCTCTTGATGACAAGATCCGTCGCAATCGTGACCCCGCTGAGCATCTTGCCGAGGTCGCTAACTGCTGCGCAAAAGATCTCGATAGCTTGGAGCACGTTGTGCACCGGCTGTCTCACATTGAGGACTATCGTGCTTTGTCGGAGCGGCTCCTAGCCGTTGATCAGACGAGTTCTTCACCTCGTGTGACAGCGCTGCGCCTTGTGCCGTTAGAAACGGAAGTTTGTTGTGCTTTGTGCTTAGAACAAGTTGCTGGTTCAGTTTCTGGGTGGTCGAGTGCCTGTGTGCACCATCCTGGCGCCAACGCTTCCGCACTCACTTGCACCGTATCCCAGTACGGCTTGAGCAAGCACACATAACACACCCTTGGGTACGCATCCGTTACGGAAACTTTAGCGTAAACGCAAAGCCACGCTTGGCCACAACCTTGAAAGTTCCGATAGACCGAATATGAAGCTTCGTCTGAAAGACAGCAGCAGAAATTGCATAAGTAGGAAGGTTCTTAGCAAATAATTAAACGAGGTCTCCGACTTCATTTTTTTGTGTTTCCTCTTCCTCTTCCGTCTGCATATTCCTTCTGCATGTCTTGGCTTTCAGCGATCGCAATACGAACGTGTCGTGATACACTTAGTCTGGTAGACAGAAAGTCATGGACTTCTTTACGCACAGTGCGGGGGCTAACATCAGCAGGACGCTCGGCTATTCCTCTCCCACCAAGCCCTGAGCCATGGAATAGCGGCGTCAGCGGGACGCGAGCTCGTTCACTGAAATAATTATTTTTGATAGCTAAAAGAAGAACGGTGTGCAGCCGGTAAATGAATGAACTGCATCGTTCAGAGCGAACTTTTCGAGTGACAGCATGGTGCTCCAGCGCCGTAGGATACTCAGCGCGGACGCTGCGAAGGACGTATCGACGACGCGATTCACGCACTCGGTATGACCATCTGTCTGCGAATGTTCCGCTGTTGACACATCCATCTTGGAGCCCAGCACCTGGAAGAGCGGTGACCAAAATTTCTCAGTGAAACATGGGTCTCTGTCAGAGATAATTGACTCCGGGAGTCCACAGGATCGACAAACAGCGGCGCTGATCCGACAACGTCGATGGTGTCCAGCACCGCCGCAAGATCAGACATCTTGCTCAAACAGTTGACAAGAACCATGACACCCGTGCTACCCGCCGAGTCCTACAAACTGGCCAAACACAAAGTCCAGACTAATGGACTGCCAGCATCCGGAGGGCTCCGTCAACTTGGCCAGCGGTGCTGCCGCATATGGCGAGGCCACATGGAAGTCCTCTTGTCACCACGTCGTGAAAAGCATATCTATTTCGCTCCTCACACTAAATGTCTTCAGTGGCAGTTCCATCCATGACGAATAACAAATTCAGCTCATTACTACTCCAGTCTTGATTGTAACATTTCAGTGACCTTAACGACTTGCTATTCCTAGACCATTTCCCCGGGAGAAAAATTGCTCAGATTTACATGACATTTTGCTGTAGGATGTGAGAGGGGGGCTTAAAACCCTCAGGAATACCCTCAGTCAGTCTTGATGTGCTGATCAGCTGCATGATCAATTCATTACAAAAAGGCAATCCTTCTTAGCTGTGAATATTGGTTTTGTTAAGTATGCTGCTGTAGCCAATGCTTGCACTAACTTATGAGTTATGGTAACTG